CTTTTTTCAATCCTATTAAATTTATATTAGCGATATGACCAAAAGACAAGCCACTTGCATCAAGAATAACAACCAATCCTTCGCTGGTACCTTGTACCACATTTTGTATCTCACAAGTCATAAGTAGATATTTATTGCACTCGAAATAGTTGAATTTATTTGGATTTGGATCCAGAAATTTGGCAAGTGTCATAATGTATCCTTCTTTGGTTTTTTGCTCTAATGGCACAGCTGCTCTATTATCGAAAGAATGTTTTCTGATATGATTTTCTATATCCTGATATGATTTTTAACGATATTTGTTGATCTTAATAATTTTATAGGATAACTTACATGGTAGAAAAGGCTTTTCGCAATTCCTTCCATGCGATTGGATCTCTATTAGAGAACACTTCTGGCAAAAGCGTTCTTATGGTGAAAAAATTGTCTATCGTCTTCTTAGTCGCCTCTATACGATAATAATTGCTATGTAGAAACAAAACAAGATATAACATCTCTATTCGTGGCAGATGAGGTTGCTTTTCCATCCAATCCTTCAACATTTGCAAATCTGACATTTTGAGTTCCGGATTTCGTTTGCACTCTTCCTCTATACTGACATATTGAATTGGTAACATCGTTGCTTTGATCGACCTACAAATTTGTGCTCGTTTATAATTTTTTCTAAAAAAACTTGCGCAAAAAAAGAAAAATGTATAAAATCATGCAGAGAAACAAAATGAATATACATATCGAGCACAAACTTTTGATTAACTAAAAATATGATTGATACTAAATCGATTATACATAATTAAACCAGATAATGTTGTTTTGAACTGTATCAGGTATACTTGCTTGTATCTTTATTTATTGGAAAAATTGCTCTTGCGAGATAGAGCAACATGCTGATATAATATATTGTATTATATGTATAATTCAAATAATCGAAAGCTGCAGAATTATATCATCATCGCAAGTAATATTTTTTAATAATCAGGATAGGTCAAGCATATGGGTAAAAATTCTTTAAAATTTATATTTGTTTTTTCTGTATATCGTCATATGTAGACATGTAACTTTTACGTTTTTATTGCTTATATATTATTAATATAAGCAATATATGTACAGTCGTGGACAGTTTGGTTACATTTTTTTTATAGGTTTTAAAACGCAT